AATGTACTTTACAGTGTCTTTTACTTTATGAAGTATGTCAGGTACTTCAGGTACAAAATAGATATAGTTTTAGTGGTGATTACACAACAGGTGAGTAATGTATTCTTCCAAGGATAATTGAGACTTGGGCAGGCTATCTTCACTGGATTAGGGGTATTTCATGAAACGCTCACTTGTGTTTTCATGACACCACATTTGTTAAAAACATAATTCTATTGGAATATAATCATATTTTGAATTCAACAACACTGCATTAAACACTTTACAAATTACATGAATGTTAAAACGGAAGTGAAAATCCCAGGCCACAGGAAACCAACTGGGACTCATGGCCCAGTGTATGTGTTTAGAGATAATCAGCACACACCACAAACATCAGGCACTGGTCCTTATAAATAAAGAGATATATCATTGTATAAATTCACAATTCGGTAAAACAGTAAAACAATCTGAATCTTAATTTACCAAATTTAATTTTTGACTGTGTTGACAGCTCAAAATTTAGGTTTCCCTTTGTGCCATTACTTCAGTGTTTTAGGAAAAAGCTTTAATAATTACAAAATATATAATGCATTCACAGCAACAAGGAATAAAAGGCATTTGCATGATATACCCAATAGCAACATTTTCCCCCCAAACAAATCCACATTTAAGAAAAATTGATTTCAAACTATGGTTACTCATAAATCATGCCAAATTTTATAATTTCTGGAGATATTAATATATTTTGTGATGTGCCATTGGAGACAAGTTATGATTCTGTCAGTACGGGGCAATCAGAAATTCACAGTAGTATGGTTTACTTTGGTACATATGGGGAAACATTACTAGCAAAGTAAAGATGCAATATAAACATAACAGGTAAAATTCTGATGGTTAGATAAACAACAGTTTAGTTAAATGATGAATATTGGCACCACTGAGAAAGAAAAATCAGTCAACATAATGTATATTGTATGATGTCCAGTGATGTCAGGGAATCAGCAGATATCTTGTCTCCTCACAACATGGAAAACATAACATTCATTAATGTGCAAGTTATGTGAAAAGAACACAACTTTGTCAAAACCACATGCTCCGAGCCTTTTAGATGTATATCTTAATGCCAAATATTGCATCCAGTTCAGAAACATGATTTATGAAAGAGAAAATGAATGTATACTGTGCAACAAAAGATTAAAGCAAATGCAGTGTTAAAATTACAATTCACCAAAAATATGTGACTAGACTAATTAATAGTATTGCTCAATTTTATATCACAATGCTACAGAATTAGCATTGGGTTTCTTAGTGTCTCTTCTTCAGAGTATCTGTTAATTACATCGTGTATTATATAATTTGTTCCCATAAATAGGTTAGAAATTCTTCCCAGGTATGACTCTCTATGTGTATATCAATCCTTTCTGTATTATTGGGAAAAACAGATCAAAACAAGACAACAAAACAAATTTGTATAAAATCATGATATGAAAAAGACATATAACACCAAAATATTAGGTGATATACAGTATGTACTATGCTTTCTCTTGTTGTTATCAATAGAATTGTCCACACTATCAAGCATTATATAGTTAAGCATAACATTGCATAGCTATTTTTATAAAAACAACTTTGAAGACATTGTAGGATGTGAAAGCAGTTAATAATAAAACCTGGAATGGATATCTTTTATTTATTTATTTATTTATTTATTTATTTATTTATTGGTACTGGGGATCAAACTCATGATCTCACACTTGCCAGGCAGGTGCTTAAGCCACTGATCTAAATCCCTAGCCCCCCAATGCATATCTTTTACATCTTGTCATCTTCAGAGTAGTTGCCTCTACTCTTTGATTTGATACCAGCAAGCATACCAAATGTGAATAAATCAGCCATAGTAAGACAATGTAAGTAATATAGGGTTTCAGTTTAAGTTAATAGGAAATTAAGGATAGTTACCATGGTATAACCTGATATTTTTGGATTATATGTCTGTGCCCTCAAATCTAATATGAGTAGACAGACCAGTACTAAATATAATCACACTAAACATACCAATAAAACTACTATAGCTTTTAAATCCTGTGTGAGTTCTTTCATGTTGTTTATACCCTCCATGTGTGGTAAAACATTTCCCACAGTCCTTACATACGCAGGGTTTCTCTCCAGTGTGAATTCTATCATGTACTTCACAATGAATGTTACTGCTAAAAGCTTTCCCACATTTCTTAAATATATACAATTTCTGCCTAATGTGAAGATTTCATGGATTACACAATAAGTACGTGTGCTGAAAGCTTTCTCACAGTTCTTGAATGTATAACGTTTTTCTCCAGAGTGAAGACACTCATGTACTTAACAATATGTACATGTTGTACAAGCTTTCCCACACTCCTTACATATGTAGGGTCTCTCTCCTCTGTGAATTCTTTCATGTTTCTTACAAATTCCATGTGTGGTAAAACCTTTCCCACATTGCTTGCATACATAGGGTTTCCCTCCACTGCAATATTTTTTATAAATATCAACATTGTGGTGTGTTTCTGTTTCTTTCACATTCAAATTACCTTCTGCAGTACAAAGGAATACTTTTTTACACTGATTGCAAGATGTATGTCCATAGGATTTCCCTAGCTTGTCATTTCTGTAAAGAAAAAAATCACCTATAGGATCGATAATCATATTACTAAGGTTTTGTTGGAGGGTTGAACAAAACTTTTTGCAGTCTTGCTGTTTGAATCCCCACTTCATATGTTTCACTTTTGTATCTTGATTAACTATTTCTATGAGCACCATATGAAATCATCTACTAGTTATTTCTTGCCATTTATTTTCACTTTGAAACTAGCATTATTTCTACTCATTTTGTTTGTTTAGTCTTTCCTTATATAAAAGTTTAAAAAAATCACAATGAAATTGGTCTCTGTGTTAATGACTCCATTAACATCAAGTTCTGCTTTTAATGCCTGTTAAGAAGTTCTGACAATGAAGCAACAGAATGGCCTTGTAAGATATGTTGAAAACAACCATTCCCAAAACACTAGTACACATTTGGAAATCTTAAAAGTTGGTACCTTTTGAAATGCAGAATATTTAGCTTCACTTTGGGCATGGGTATATATGTGTATCACAGACAAATCATTCTGATACATTTCTCAATCATAGTCTCCCTTCTGTCCTTAACATGTAATTCCCTTTGCCAACCAGTCAGTGTTACCTTTATCTATCAACCCTCTTTCATTTCATTCCACAATTAATATTTTTGTTTCTCATCTAAAAGAAACCCTGTGACCTTTTAGGATTTATATCTGAGATATTTCACTAAATTGATGGGAGAAAGATTCATGCAGATCTTATCGCAAATGACATTATATTATTTATTTTTTGACATTATATAACACGTTTTTATTTTCCATGCTGGGAATGAACAACAGGTATTAGCATAAAATCTCTAGCTTTTATATTTATTTTAAGAAATTTTCACTGATTATTAAGCTGTGAAGTTTGAACTTGAATTTGCCATTCTGCAAAATCTGATTCCTAGGGTGCTGGGTTTACAAGAATGAACAATCACAGAGTCTATTAACATTTTCCTCTCCACAAATCCAGTTATAGACTGCTAAGCTGCTTCAAGGCCTGATATCATATAACTTGATCTGCTTTGTATATGAGTAAGCATGTATCTGTACTTTATGTGGATTTTGAGTTTTTAAAAATATATCCAGGACAAGTATGAGATTCTAGAGATAACTGCACACTGATATTCAGAATGAATGCACTTAACATTCCACCAGCCTACTTAGAATTTTAGTCAGAATGGCTGATTCTCTATAGCATGGCTTGGAAACATGAGCACTCAGTTTTATTTCAAATTCTATTGCAATCTTAGCAATTGTTAGATAATGAATGTTTTGTATTTGCTAGTATATATGGATAGGAAAACTGGAGGCAGAATGTCATAACTCAAAGTGTATGCCTTTTGTACACATCTATACGAAATGTCATACATTTTTATGATTTAATTTCCTCATTATACATACCATGGCTTATACATCTTGGGAGAATATTACTGACATTTAATTGAATGGTACCTCATTTCTTTGGCTGTAGTTTTTCTGCTCACAAACTAATTACTCAGGAACATTCCTTCTTCTTGTGAGTGTGAATTACCTTAAGTATCTCCAATAAGTTTTGCATTCTTTTTCAGCTTCCTGGATATCCCCAAGTCCTCCTGAATTGTAGACATAGAAATATCAGGATTCATTAGAGTAATAAATACAAATGAATAGATTTTTTTTAGATTTATGATATAAGGTGACTAGGTCTGAGCTATTTTTCAAAATATTTTTACATTCCTTTTAATGGAACAACAATGATGAGCAACAAACATTCTAACAGCATGAGTGACAAAAAGATGTCATGCTTACCTATCACAGTCAAGTTGCTAAAGATTTCGCCCATCAAATCTCTGTAGAGGTTCTTTTGGGATGTACTCAGCAAAGTCCACTCCTCATTGCTGAAGTTCACAGCCACATCCTCAAGGGTCACCACCTCCTAAAGGATCATACATATATTCCTCAAAGAAGGTTGAGACCCCATGTTTGGGATATCTTAAATTCTCTCCTACAAATCTGAATCAAAAGCAAAATGTGGTGGTGTATATCTATAATCCCAGCACTCACAAGGCTGAGATAGGAGGTCTTTGGTGAGGTCAGGAGAATTCTAGGCTCCATACAGGGTACAAATCCAGCTGATATACATACAGAATGCTTGTCTCTATAAAACAAAACTAAACTAAACAAATAACACCAAACAGAACAGCTGCATGGAGACTGATTCATTCAAATCTTAATTCCATGTTTGGGTCATTAATTGTGTGTATATACACACTTTTGGAGACAGCAAGTTTGATGCTAGATTGCAACTCACTGCCACTTTAAGAGCCAAACAGGAGCACTGATTCTTGTGCTTAGTCACTGAAAGATTCCCTGTGTACTGTCTATAAAGCAGAGTTGACAGTGAGAAGCCTGAAGGACCAGCATCCACAAAGTACAGAGGCAGATAAATATCTCATCAATCAACTGGGAAACCAAGCAAGCACATCCCCTCCCTGGTAAGTGGTGGCAGTCTGGCAGACTGCAGCCCTTCCAGGGGGAGAACCATCAGCAGCTCCTGAGATCCATATTGGAACTTAGGACACTGGGAAGCCAAGCAAGCACCTGCCATCCCTTGTAAGCAGTGGTGGTTTGGCAGACTGTGGCCCTTCAGGGGGAGAACCAACAGCAGCTCCTGAGATCCACACCATTTTGCAACTTAGGATGCTGTGAAACCAAACAACCAGCCTGCCTCCCTGCTAAGCAATAGTGAACCTACTGATTTACAGCCTAGAATCAAATATCCCACTTCCCCTACCCCTCTTCTCCTATCATCCTCCTGTTAGCAAATGGGAACCAGAAAAATGAGCGTCTCTTGGGAAGCTGACCAAATCAAATAAGGAGGACTTCCTTCTATTATCACTTGGAAGGCAAATATTTTTACTACTGTTTTGCTTTATTCTGATTAATGGTACTGCTCTATTCAATATTTTCTTTTGATAAGTGCTATAATGCTCTGTATTTCATCTCATTTGGATATATGTGATTGAAAGAACAACCATTATAAAGATAATGAAATATACTGTGATATCTATTATTATTATCACACTAACCTGCTGTGAAGTTCTGTACCAGTTTCACTGTACAATCTTAGGTGGCCTTATTCTGTCTTGTTCTGTTGTATTTTACCACTTTCAAAATTAAAAAAAATTATCTCATCAATCCTTTTGATAGACTACAAATCATGTCTCTTCAAATCTCATTTGGGTACTTTGTTTTTAATATAATTAAGCATTATTTTGAAATATAAATTTTGTTTCAAGACAAATGATAAGCAAATTCATGCCTATCCTAAGGACTGATACTCTAAATAGTTCCATAGCCCTCTGAGGAAGTCAGGAGTCACCATTCAAAGAAATGTATCCTTATCTTAAAGCCTGACATTCTAAATAGTTCCTATCATCCTGAGAAACTCAGGAGTCACCCTCCCAAACCCCTAAGGGAAGAGCCACAGCTGCCTAAGAATGCCTGCTTTCTTTGTGACTCCCTTCCCCCTTTGTTCCCAAGTTAATCAACTTTATCTGAACTTATAATCTTATTGGGTACCATAGCTCTGTCCCATCTTATGCCCATCTGCATTGTGAGTTCCTAGTTTTCCCCACCTTAAACTCATCTCCCCACATGATTTTACTCTATAAAGTCCATAGAAAGAACAGTGTTTGGCAACCTGCTCAGAAACTCTTCTCTCTCTCAAGCAGCTTTATTTCTCTCAATAAGTGTATTTTCCCCTTAATCTCTTTTGTTGCTAAAATTCATTCTTTCACCTTGGAGAACATGAACTCATATCAGACATAGTAGACTGGGAGATTCATTCCGCTATAGCAATATCAGAATAAACTTTTCTCTTTCTTGAAGTCAGAGAAATAAGTAGTAGTTTGTATCACACAATGTTGATTTCACCTTGCCAGGGATACTTGCATTGAAGGCCTTTATCCCTGCCTTTAAGTGCTGCTTCTTTTTCTGAAAGTGAACTGCTCTGTAATTTTGGTTATGGTATCGACAATGCATTAAGGAAATGACTCAAAATATTTCTTATGAATGTTTTACCACCAGCCATGGAGGAAGACAGATAGCAAAAATTCTTTGCTTTGATTTCTTCATTCAAATTAAAGGATGTACTTCAAAGTGTTTTACCCTAGAAAAAATTACAGGACCTCATGGTGGTAGTTCAAAGTGGAAGATGTTGAAATCAGGGATGCTTACTCATATGGCCACTTCCTCTTTTCTCCTTGATTACAGCTTCCTCTTTCTTTCCCAGGGGCCTAAAGAAAATTTCCCTCAGCTCCTTGCATAACATCAATGTCCCCTCCAAGCACCACATCCAGTCAAAAGTCACATATACCCCATAACCCCATAGTCAGTCAGAAAAAAAAAAGCCAAACCCTTGGTGGCTGTGAGAACCTCTCCACATTCTTTAAATAAAAGGTCACTTTTCTATTTCTTATATTCTGCTTCTCTAATGTGCTAATTTGCCTCCTCACTAACCTCAGTAATCTAACCCACTTTATACCTATCTCACCACATGATTTTATTCTATAAAGTCCCTAGAAAAGACAGAACCCATCCTCTTTCTCTAAAACAGAAGCTTTCCAAAAGGATTTTTGGTGTAGTAAAGAAGAGAAGATAAAGTCAAAAAGGCCTTTATTCTAAAATCAGGGAGAGAATCCCATGACCACTGGGGTTCTGGCTTTTTCTTCTGGAAATGTGTGGGGCACACATATAGTTTTGATTTGGGTGGTGCTTAAAGGTGGCATTGCTGTATGCAGGTGCCTGATTGAGACTCTTTTCTGGACACAGGTAAGTTGCATAGAGGAGAGGAAAGTGATCTCAAGATAAAAGTTTCCTAGCTCCTCATTTCACTGCGAAAATATCCTATTTAGTGCAAAATAATTTTACCTTCTTTCTCTAAATATATATATTCTGCTCTTCACTTCTGTTGTTCCTAAAATTCATTCTTCCATTTTAGAGAACACAAACTCATACCAGACATAGAAGGTCAGGAATTTCATTCTACTATAACACGGTATGGCTGCCTGTATTTCTACCTCAGCTGCCTGTAAATTTAATGTTTATCAACTTCACTTGGAATAATTGTGGCAAATAAAATGTTCTTAATGAATATAGGGAAATATATCATTAAATTGAAAAAATGATTATCACAGTTTTTCTACCTAGCACCAGCCCACATTTTCAACTTTCAAGTACGTGGAAAAACAAAAACTAAAAACGACTCAGAAAATAGCAATCCTACAGGGGACAGTATATCATTCACTGCAATTGCCATGTAATCTGCAGATATTTCGTAGACCACAAAAGAAACATTGAGCCTATTAATTAATAAGTATCAGTCTCAATAAATGTGCTCACAGTACTGCATCGTTGACAACTATGAATTATTTTTTTTCTATGATGGATTGAACTCATGACCTTTTGCTCTCCAGGCAGCTCATTATATCACTGAGCTCAATACCCTGCCCCAAGTACTTTAGATACTAAATATGACTATTAACAATGCTTAATTTGCCATTTACATATTTAGTTATAAATTTTTTAAACCTACCTTTTCATAAATGGAATTATTTTCTTTCCTTGCAGTTTAAATTACTTTTTTTTTTTAGGTACCAGGGATCAAAGTTACAACCTAGCACTTTCCAGTCAGGTGTTTCTGCCTGCTGAGCTAAATCCCTGGTTTGTATTGTAAGATCACCATCGCGAAGAAGGCCCCAAGGATCCAGCTCTCATGAAAAATCAAGGGGTTTTTTATTGTCCACGCATGCAAGTGACCCTCTGACCACACTCCGGTGGGAGGGAATGAGAGAGCGGTAAGTAGGGAAGTGCAAGGTATATAAAGCCAAAAGCCACAAAGCAAGCATCGGTTAAAGAAGCAGATGGCATTGGTTAATAGGGGTCGTTTCGTTTGCTTACTGGTGTGTTCTGACCTAGTGACAAGGCAAGAGGGGTTTCCTGAATGTTTTAACACTTCAGTATTAATGAATATTTTTAAATGCATAAACATCAATTTATTGACTCAAATAGTATTGTGATTTTAGCAAAGGATGTCAATGTAGACAGAAATTGATATGCAATCAAAGAGGAAATTCAACCTCAAAGAATCAATGCAAAAAACTAAATACAACAATCACTGCTACAGGTACAGCTGAAGAAAGCCAGACCTGAAGAAGAAGATGTAGTGACCATGTCTACATGTTCCTGAAGACAAAAACAACAGCTTGAAATGTATTACAGTTACCACGACCTCCTCCAGGAAGTCCTGATACTCATAAATTACCATACTCAATGACCTGAACAACTGGACTATTGTTTCCACAAAATGCCTTGGCTCTTTCCACATACATTTTCTTGCTGACTTGTTCCCCTGCTGAATAATATTAGTTAAGCAGCTTTAAGCTAATATTTTGATTGTGGTTTGAGACCCACACTGTACCCACATTGTGACTATCCTGTATAAATGACCCCTGACAATAGGTCTGTGGCCAAACACTGAAAACCACTCCTGAAAATTCAGGGCTATACTTCTCTCTTTTTTTCTAAGAAAATTTTTGAACTTCTTTTGGTTTGTGACTTCCTTTCTCAATGTTGTGAGCAATTAAACTTGGTGCATTTGACATCAAACAGGGCAGGATTGTATTTCTCTTACTTCAGTTTGAATATTAAATGTCTGCTAAATGCCATGTTCCAAAGCCTGGATTTCAAGCTGCTTGTTTGCCATGGTTTTAACATTTCCATGAGCTTTTAGAAGTCCTCAGTCTAGTGAATTGCAGATGTATTGCAGGAAGGAATCACTGTTGTACTGTATCACAATAAGTGCCATTCCTAAGTCTGTGTTTGTTACAACCTCCTGGATGCCACTACATGGATTTCTTTCCTCTGCAGCATCATTCAATAATTTCCATTTTAGAGAAGTCAACTTTCACACAGTTCTATTATTGTTTTTTTTTTTTTTGAATAGTCTTTCTCTCTCCTTGGTTGTTTATTTTTTCATTTTAGTTTTTTGATTTAAAGACATAGTCTCACTTTGGAGTTCTGGCCAGCCTTGCACTCACTTGTAGGTTAGGCTGTCCTTGAGTATATGGTCATTTTCTTGCTTCAGCCTCTTCATTGCTGTGGAAAAGAGGTGGGAATTATAACACATAGCATTTGTCTTTTTTCTCCTCTCCTTTTCACTATTATTCTTTCATTTCAGTGGCACTGCCTTTTAATTGTGTTGGTTGCTTGTGTCAGTAAAGGTTTCTGCAGCTTGAGTTGAGTTTGTGAACAAGAATATAAGAAGCCAAGCAATCTAATTGATAAATGTGGAATTTCATTAGCTGCTCTCAGGATCACTTGGATGCAGAACCCCTAACCCCATTTCAGGATCTAAACAAGAGGCTCTGAACTGGAAATTTACAGATGTTTTAAAAGATAGAATCACAAAATATCCTGTTGGAAATCATTTAGCTAGAATCTTATAATAATTTTTGGATGCCAACTGTATTCTGCTTCTTTGGTGAGCAACTTAATTTTTTTCATTGGGTACAGCTCATGTTGCTTTTCTCCTGGGACTTCTACACTGAGTGATTTTCCATTTTGCTGGGTGAAATACAGGGCACCATTTAAATGCAAAGCTCAAAATGGCATCTATTATGCCAAGCTACAACATGGCTAAGTTACAAGCCTCAATATTTTCTGGGGTAAAAATAACATATCGATAATCCCCACACTTAAGATGCTGAAATAGGAGTGCTGCTTTGAGGTTAGGGCAATTCTGAGCTCTGTTAGGGGTTCAAATCTAGCTGATATACATACAGAAAACTTGTTTCAATAAAACAAAACTAAACTAAACAAATAAATCCAAACAAAACAGCTGAATGGAGACTGATTCCATCAAATCTTAATTCCATGTCTCAGGCATTAATTTTTTGTATATACACATTTTTTGAGACAGCACATTTAATACTAGATTGGAACTCACTGCTAATGCTACAGCCAAATAGGAGCACTGATTCTTGCGCTGAGTCAGTGCAAGAGTCCCTATTCACTGTCTCTAAAGCAGAGCTTATAGTGGGAGCCTGCAGGATCAACATCCATAAAGCACAGAGACAGACAAATATCTCATCAATCACTTTGATGTACTACCAATGATATCTCTTCAAATCTCATTTAGGCCACTGAGTTCTTTGTTCTTAATATACTTAAGCAGCATTTTGATATTTAAATTTGGTTTCATAGAACAAAACATAAATAACATCAAATATGTTACATAAATAATAACTCAAATGTTCATAGAAAACTGCTGTATGTAAAAAATGAATAAACAATTAAACCAGGTACAAGCTTCAAATTATAGCTCAGTGTCACCAAGTGATCACTTTACATTCAGATATAAGAAATATATCTTGGGAGTCTCATGCAGGAGAACTGCCTTGAGTTTGGGGCTAGCCTAAGTTACAGAGCGGTCTGAAATAGATAAACCCTGACTGAGACACCCCACAGACAATGTAAAACTTGAAAAGTGACTGCATAAGTCACTTTTGGTTTGCTTTAAAAAATTAGCCATACAATATAGAAAAATTCCACAATGTTCAACATTTTCTGAGGAACAAGGTTGATATTATCCATAATATACAGAAAACACTTTCAGAGCTGGGTGTTTAGCTCAGCAGCATGAAAACCTAAATAGCCAGCTTGAGATCATGAGTTCGAATCTTGGTACAAAAAAAATTCAACTTTCCTTTTCATGACACTGGGTCATAATTAGAGATAATCAAAATTGGATCTCAAGTGAAGAACACAGAATTCATGGGTTTACAGAGATGTGGAATAATGATTGTTACCAGAGCTGGTGTTATTCACCTCAAGGAAGAAACAATAAGCCACCCTTAACTTCATGCTTGCCCTAAGAATACCTGACTTTCAGTGAAGACCCTCTCTGTTTTATGTCCTGCTATTGGCATACTGTGTCCTGCCAGTCACTTCCACATCCTTTCTATGCTCTTCTGATCCACCGTAAGCAGGAAACCCTTCAGGCCTAAACTATTGATATTCCTGCACAATTTCAATTTAGGACATCTTCTTCACATGACTTAGTAAAGGCCATTTCAGAGCATTTCCATATTTAAACATTGTCTATGATCAACCAAGCTATTAAATCAGCTGTTAAATCAGAAATGATACCCATATTCCTTTCCATTCAGAACAATATCACCTGTATATGTTCATGCCAATGACTACATTTAGGAATTTTTCAATGAGGATCTAACAGGCAGCCCTTTCTGGAACTTTTCCTTAGCAAGCACACTTTACTCTGCCCTTGATAACACTTTTAAATCAGTTTCATTTTTGTCAGAATTCAAACTTCTATCGCTGTTCTCACAAACATAGTCTATGAGCAAGTGGGTAACAAAAAGTATGTTCAGAAATTCTTTGCATTGTTCTATGTAATTCACAGGAGTTCACCAAGTGTTTGGGAAGCCTTCCTCCACTGAACCACATCACTACACATCTCTGAATTATTAGGAATTTTGCCAACACCTGTCATGAGGATGGAAATGTGAGAATATACCATAAATTTAGGCGATCCCTATGAATACAAAAAAGCACAAGTTTAAGGAGAGCCGTTGTGGATATGAGGCCCTGCATTACAGATATTTATGAATTTTAGAACCTAAAGATTGCTGCTAACTGCAATGAGAACAGAGACCAAGCTCAGTACTGCTGCTCCAGCTACAAAATGCATCAGTCAGGGTCTGCCCAAGCTCCTTCCTCTGCCCGCTATAATGGAGGTGTCAGGGTAATAGAGAATTTTAAAGATGATACTCCAATTCTGTTGCTCTCCTAGTTAGCTCAGGGTTCTGGGGACACAAAATCATGCTTACTCCCAGCAGGAATAAAAAGGGACAGTAGATTACCCAAAGCCAATGCTAGAATACATCAGGAGCTGAAGCTATCTAAATACCTGTGTCTGCAGACACCAGAACTGCTTCTAAACACTTGTAACTGCATTCTCCCAATTCCACCCTATTTCTGGCCTTTCATCCAAAGCCTCACCATTCTGTGGCTAGAGGGTCTCCCAGGTTCTTTTCTCATCAGGCCACAGGACTTTGAAACCAGGAAATGAGATGCAGCAAGTATTCTGCTCCCAGTTTTGTGCTCCAAACAGGTAAATAATGCCTAGACAATGGAAGAGACCCAAGAGACGGCCTGTCATGGCTCACCTAATTGAACATTCATCACTGATTCACTGCTGCTCTCCTGCCCTCCTTCTGAGTCAAAAATAAACCCAGAAAGGACTCCTTCCTGCAAGAGAGGATCCCAAATGATAGACTGTAATCAGAGAGTTCTGCAGCTGGCTGTCTTCTACAATGTTGATCTCAGCTACACAGAGAAATATGTGTACCAAAGCGCTTTACTTCAGGCTTTTCATTTCCACATCCATTTTATTTCAAGGATAAAAAGAAAAAAATAAACTAAAACTAAATTTCAGAACATGTGAATCAGGGCGCAGAACTGCTACATACATTGCACACAGTCATCCCCAGATTATTCACCCAGAGCACAAGACATCTGTATTCAATTTTCAGAAAAATACTGTTATAGTAAGCTGAGTTAGTTAAATATTATTGGCTGTGAGACAGGGCTAGGTCCTCCAAGGAGCCCATGCAGAAACCTAGATACCGTGCACCTATTAATAAGATGGATGTGATAGTTTGGACTCAGGAATAAAACCCAAGGAAGCAAGAAATTAAAATTTGGGAGCAAAGGCTTTATTTTAAGCCTGGCCTGGCAATGTAATCTCCAGGAGCCAATTTGGAGACTGCCAGCCTTACAGCTAAAAAGGTTGGGTTTTAAAGCCAAAAACCACAGGAATGTTGCAAACTTTGACCCAGTTTGGTAACTTCCTTGTTGTTAAACTTTTCTAAAAGACAGCACATTGTATTGCAGATAGGCTGAAGGGGGTTGGGGGGATTTCAAGAAACTGAAACTTAAAGTTTACTTAGTCTAAAAAGAAAAGGGAGGGGAGGGGGATTTACAAGGAGCTGAAACGTAAGTCTTTACTGGAGATGGAATTTTAATCTCTATTGAAATGGCACATACAGAAGAGAAAGGAGGTCCATTGGTTAGAACTAGGTTACAACAATGGACAGCTCCTGCTATGGGCCAAGCCTCAAGACAAAAAAATCAACAAATTCATCCATACTCTAAGGACTGATATTCTAAATACCTCCCTAGCACTCTGAGGAAGTCAGGAGTCACCATTCAAATAAATGTCTCCATATCCTAAGGACTGATATTGTAATTAATTCCTATCAAGAGTCACCCTCCCAACCTCCTAAGGGAAAATTCACTGCTGCCTAAGAATGCCTGCTTTCTAAGTGACTCCCTTCCCCATTTGTTTCCAATTTAATTAACTTTACCTGGACTATTTATCTTATTGACAACCATAGATCTGTCCCATCTTATGCTCATCTGCATTTTGAGTTCCTAGTTTTCTCCAAATTAAACCCATCTCACCACAAGATTTTACTCTATAAAATCCTTGGAAAAGACAGTCTTTGCCAACCCACTCAGGATGAATTCAATCTCTCCCTCAGCTGTCTTTCTCCAAGTAAGTATATTATCTTGACTTTTGTTGTTCCTAAAATTCATTTTTTTACTTTAGAGAACACAAACTCATACCAGCATAGTAGACCAGGAGTTTCATTCCCCTATAGCAATACCACTATAAATTTTTCTTTTTCTTGAAGTCAAAGAAATCAGTAGATGATTGTATTCTTAAATGTTGATCTCACCTCTTAAGGGACACTTGCACTGAAGGGTTTTATCCTTGCCTGTAAGTGCTGCTTCTGTTTTCTGAAAATGAACTGATCTGTAGGTTTGTTTACTTGTACAATGCATTAAGGAAATGACTAAATACTTTTCTTGTGAATTGTTTACCACTAACTGTGTAAGAAGACACATAGCAAAAATTCTTTATTTTCATTTTGTAATTCAAACTGCAGGATGTACTTGAAAGTGTTTTGCCCTAGAATAAATTACAGGACATCATGGTGGTAGTTCATCAGAGTTAAAGTTCAAATTGAAGAGTTAAACCATTCAGGAAACCCCTCTTGCCTTGTCACATGGTCAGAACAACCAGATATCCTGGCCTGATAGGGAAGTTGTGGTCCAACGTCCCCAAAAATAAGAGCACCGTGAACTATCGACCCTGCCAGACAGGATGAGTTTTCAAAAACATCAAGCCATCTGCTTCTGTAACTGACACTTGCTTTGTGATTTTCGCCTTTATATACTCTGCACTTCCCTACCCGGGCACTCTCTCTCTCCCCTCTCCCCACCGGAGTGTGGTTGGAGAGTCCCTTGCATGCATAGACAATAAAACCTCTTGATTTTTCATGAGAGCTGGCTCCTTGGGGTCTTCATCGCAATGGTGATCTTACATTTGGAGGCCCCAGTGAGATCTGCCCCCCCCCCCTCGCTGAGGGCAGCCCCAACGGCCACAAAGTGTCTCTCAAGGTAAATACAGCCATTCCTTTTAGTTTCATTTTTGTGATCGATCGTTCATCTTAACTGCCCCAAATCACTTCTGACCCGTACCTCGCGATCCTAATATAGGGTAGTTTCTTTGGGGGACGCCCCAAAAGGATTCTCTTGGGAGTCCATTTGTCCCTCAGACTCCCAGTTTTTTAGGACGGGTCTATTTGCCCTCTCATTGGTGGTGGATTCACCGATCTCATGTGAGTGTGACCGGCCAGAACATGTGGTGTATTTTGTCTTGTTGGTGTTCTCTGTTGTCTCAGTCTTTGTTCTCGTCTCTTTTGTCATGGGTCAAAGTGTCTCGACCCCTCTTTGTGTTACTCTTAATTGGTCAAAAGTAAGGGAACTATAATAACCTAAGGCCCCCTAACTATCATGCCATAAAGCCTGTTCTGTATAAGCCTGCCTGCTGCTTTCCCTCCTTTTCCGCCTTCAAATCTAACTAGGTTAAGTTTTAACTTCCTAAAAGGCCATATAACAAAGGTCTGAGGTAATAGCTCCTGACAACCCCCTTCTCTACAGTCACAAATTGTATTAATTGCATTAGATTGTAATAGCTTCATTTGTATCATAACAATACCTGTGTGTTCCTTTCCCTCTGAGTAAAGGATTGATATGTTAATCAATGCTCTCCTGTGTAAAGAATTGTAAAATCTTACCTAATTGATATGTTAACCATTGTTGTCCTCTACAAATAACAGTTGTAAAAGGTGCTAAAGTAAGGTAACCAAGGTTGTTAATTGCTGTTTCAGCTTTGTAGTGCATCACACCCCCATCCCCTTCCTTACATTGTGTGACCAGCAGCTGTTTGTGGATTTACAAGATAAAAGCCCTGACTTTTAGCTGTCAGGTGTGCAGTCTCCAAATTGGCTCCTGGAGGCTGTGTCACCAGGCCTGGAAATAAAGGCTTTGCTTCCCTAATTTTAATTTCTTGCTTCCTTGAATTTCATACCAGGATCTGAGTTATCACATTTGGGGGCTCGGTCTGAGATGAGAGCAAGTCCACAGACTCATTTCTGAACATCTGAAAGTAAGAACTCTGGAGGGCTTGTTTGGGCCATGGTAAATTTGTAATTTGGACGGGATGCCCTCAATTTGCCAGTGAGAACCCCCCGAGGACAGAGTCATTTGGTTCTTTTTTGGACAAATTCCATCCATCTGAGACTCTGCCCCGGGTGGGGAACCGCTCCATTAGGAAGGGGATGCATTTAATTTGGGGAGTGAAACCTCCCAAGGACGGAGTCAATTGTTTTTGCCATTTGTGACTCTGCCCTGGGTGGGGAACTGCTCCATTGGTTAATTTGTTAATTCCTCCAGATCCCAAAATTTGACTAATTTTTGAGCAAAGGCCATTTTGCTGCAGCTTGTCTTCTCTTATACGTCTGTTTGTATGTCCATTTGTTCTAATTTTTCTCCTTTTGGTTACTCCAAATCTAACTGAACATTCTCTCCTAGGAACCCCTTCTACGAGCCCAAAATGGACTACAGGATTTAGATAATTATGTTCAGAGTTTTTGTAATTTAGAATTGTTTGCCTGTTTAAATTTGTTGCTAACTTACGGGCGTGTTGCCCATTTCTGTTGCAGGATCCATATGGCTTATTAGATTCAAGGTTCATAGTAAGAATTATTTCCTTTAGCTCACCAAACTATGCATGAAGCAACCTTTGTTTGTGTGTTTAATATGTAAGTCTTCACCTTGTTTAATATGTAAGTCTTCAAATGATTGCTTGCAAGCTCAGCATGCCTTTTAAAAAGAGTATTTTTCTTTCTGGTTAAAATGTAAACATATGTGCACATATACATGTATATTTATGGTTTTTAAGAATCATATCAACTTTACCAAGTAAAAACCAGGTAGTACTATGTTTGAGCCAGTTAAAAGGCTACAGTTTTAATTTTAAAAATACAGCATTATTAAAAAAATTATGTGGTAAAAACACATAAAATAATTAAGTATGTTTTAGACTACTAAAAGTTCACTTCAAGGGTTTTGTTAAGAGTTTTGATGTTGTCTGAGAAGCGAGAGGAAAGGTAATTGACTAGTAATAGTAAAAAGAGGAGACAAAATAAAAGTGTTCTTTCTTCAAGTAAAAATGTCTGGCTGTGCCAGAATGTGAAAAAAAAAAAAAAGATAAAAGCTTAGCTTCGGTGGTATATTGTAAATTGTAGAAGGCTCAATAAGATGTGAATTTTATTTGTCTTGGTTTATAGTACTACAAATAACAGGTTTGACCAGAAGAAAATGTGTTCAGAATTTGACAGTATTAGATCAGTTTTGGTAGAAGTATTCATAAGATTGTACTTTGCTGCAAAATGTTTCCATTGAAATGAGATTATAGGTAATACTAGAGATAAGATACATGTGCTATAAGTATCTGCATTGGTATAAATATCTGGGAGATTATGCAGCACAACTTTGTTACCTATAAAAAAGTCCTTTTTTTGTTAAGAATATAATTTCAGTAAAATGATGGCCTGCTTCGTGACATCCTGGGAGAAAAAAAATAAGCAATGTGCCATCCAAATGAAGCCGGCTCTCTGATCCAGAGTGCCAAAACCATGTTCTCCTTTTGTCCGACCCCGATTGGACATCCAGAGGTAAGGAGATTTCCCAGTATCACCAGTTGTTCTCTTTGCAACTCAGTGGGCCCCACATGTTAGACAAAAATTGCAAAGGTTTGAGAGGTTTCAGGGAATGCCCCTCAGCCAATTAATAGAGATAGCACAAAAGGTCTTTTAGAACTGGAAAATTTACAAAAAGCTATGAACAAAAAAATAACCAACGTGTTAGAACTGCTTTATGAGAAAAAATTTTTAAAAAACAGATGAGAGTTTCTGGGGGCGTTTGGATGCTGTAGGCTAAATTTTACTGAAAAGCTCACCTCTATATGATTCCTATAAGGGAGAAACTCAAAACACTGAACTACACTGATAAATGTGAACAGGCATTCCAGCAGCTCAAGCGGGCCTTGACAGAGGCCCCAGCCCTGGGGCTCCCTGATGTTACCAAGGCGTTCACCTTGTTCATAGACAAACTCAAGGGCATTGCCAAAGAAGTCCAAACACAAGACAATGGCCCTTGGAAGAGGCCTATAGCCTACCTCTCCAAAAGACTTGATCCAGTGATAGGAGTATGGCCCCCTTGCCTAAGAATACTAGCTGATGTGACAATGTTACTTAAGGAGACGAAGAAACTCACTTTGGGCAAGTGATTTCTGTGGTAACCTCTCACAGTTTAGAGACTCTTATCAAAACCCCTCCTGGAAAAATAAGGGGGGGGGGCTTTCGAATGCTAGAATTCTACACTGTCAAGCCTTGTTTCTAGACCCAGAGTCAATGATATTCAAGACTTCTTCATTTTTAAACCCAGGCACCCTTATGCCTGATGATGACCTGGAGGAAAAAAAGACACCTCTCCATGAGTGTGCTGACATCCTTAAACTGAGCAGAACCTACGGGCTGATCTTACCAACCAGCTTTTGGGACAACTATTTTATCGATGAAAGCAGCTTCATCCCGAATGGCAAATGAATGGCCCGGGCTGCAGTGACCACCATAAAGGAGGTACTCTGGGTTAAGCAGGTAGAACCTGGCACCTCTGCCACAAAGGCGGGGCTTGTTGCTTTGACTGAGAGGCTAAAACTAGCTATGGGAAGGAGGGTAAACCTTTTTAACTGACAGTAGATATGCTTTTGCTACTGTACATGTACATGGAGCCATCTATCAGAGCAAGGTCTCTTAACCTCAGCTGGGACTAAGATTAAAAATGCTCCACAGATTCTAGACTTGCTGACAGATGTCTGGTTGCCTCAAGGAGATGCTATTACTCATTAGAAGACTCACCAGACAGGAGATGACACTGTCACCTTAGGGAACAGTTTGGCAGATCAAGCCACTCAAAAAATAGCAACCACATCAGAGGGGCCAATTAAGAAAGTAACTGCTCTGATGCTAGTCCCTCCAACCTTGTCAGAACCAGTCTACACAAAAAAAGGACCTACAGTTAGCACCTCAACTAGGAGTAAAGTCCCCCATCCTTGGGGGCTGATACCAGTTACCTGATAAACAAGTACTGTTACTGGAGGCACTAGGGTGGGAGCTGTTACACTGGGCTCGCCAGACTACTAGTTTAGAGAAAACTAAACTTATGGAATTGTTCAGAACTTGGTTTTTTATTCCAAAATTCTGCAAACTGACCACCTCCTTGAGCTCCAGATGCCCACAGTGATTGTTAGTCAACTCAGCCAAGAGCTCTATGCTGGAGACCACCTGACATTAAAAAATAGTTCCAGGAGAACATTGAAAAGTAGACTTCATGGCATGGTAAAGCCTGATTTACAGGGGTACTGCTATCTCTTGGTATTAATAAACACTTTTACTGGCTGGGTGGAGGATTTCCCTACTAAGTCTGAGTCAGCCTTAGTGGTAGTTAAAAGGCTATTGTATGAGATCATACCTTGATTTGGCCTCCCACTATCAATGGGGACTGATAATGGCCTGGCTTTCATAGCCTGGGTCACCCAAAAGTTAGCCCAGGCATTAAAAATTAATTAAAACTCCACTATGCCTATCAGCCACAAAGCTCAGGACAAGTAAAATGTATTTACCAAAGTCTCAAGGACATTTTAGCTAGGCTATCTTCAAAAACTGGTGATAATTGGGTGAGCCTTCTTCCCTTTGCACTAAGAGCTAGATGTACCCCATATGTTTCTGGAATTTCCCCCATTGAAGCCATGTTGGGAGGCCCTTGCCATTGGTTCCAAGATTGCCAGAAAATAAACTAGCTAAAATAACTAATCAAGATCTCATTAAGTCCTGACAGACTCTCCAACCCATGTTGACTTCAACCCACCAGCTGTTTATACTAGACAAAAACACCTGAATCTGCCTTCAGAGACACCTCTCAAGGTGCCGATCAAGCCAGGGACTCCAGTCTTGGGGCAATGTCACCACTGTGACTCTCTCAAACCCCGCCGGGAAGGACCTTTCACCATGGTGCTCAGTACCCCCACTGCCATCAAGGTAGCAGAAAAAACTGCATAGATTCACTACACTCACGTAAAGCCACTGGAAACAGTGGACAACGAAGGACTTACTCAGTAGACTACATAGCAGACTGGTAACCCCTTAAAGTTAAAATTGACTAAGATTATGCTGGTCATGAACTTTTCTAGCTTGCTTGCTTTGATTTTTATAACATTGATGCCGACCTTGCATGGCGGCTTTGGTCCCCCTGTAAGCAAAGAACAATTGTTAAGATCTTTATGTGGGAGCTCCTGTGATTGTGGAGGGGGTTATATTACTAAAGGTAAAGACACCAACTGGGGGAATTATACATACAATAGGAAACATGTATCGAGATCCTTCCAACACAAATGATAAACTGTATACATACAGTCTTTCGGACAGATTGTGAGCGCAAGTTAACATTCCTTGTAGCTATACCCTCAGGTACAGGGGGTTTGACTAAAAGGTGGATGTAAATGATAAAGCCCCTGTGTGATACCTAACAAAGGCAGCCAGTGAGGGCCATGCCATCAGAATTGTTCTTAGTATTCAAAAATGCATTCCTACTGCTATGACTCTGTACAAGAATGTATAGCATAGATAGCAAAACTTACTTCACTGCTGAGCTTATGAGGACAAAGGCTAAAAGGGTTAAAGGTGATTGGTCGACATATTTGACAGTGATAGGAAGTTCTATGTATGCCCAAGCCTCATGTCTTAACATGGTTGATAATCAGTGAGCTGGGGCATGGTGGCCCTATACATGTGTCTGATAGGGGCAGGCCACACGATAAGATCCAAAAAAAAAAAAAAAAAAAAAAAAAAAAAAAAAACTCTGGTGGTTGAAGAACAAGTAAAGCTGCTAATAAAAATAAGCTGCATAAATCGTGGGGAGTTGGTCTGGACGCTCAAACTTATGATATTCTAGAGGTCACTCATAAAGCCTTAAATGCTTCCAACCCAAATTTGGCTGAAGAATTGCTGGTTATGCATGGCACAGGGCTCCCCCATACCCCTTGCCATCCCCAACAGTGTTTCTCTGGCTACACTGGAGAAACAAGATTACTTAAATTTTAGTGCTGGTCCCCCCTTTAGAGTACAACCAGTAGACTTTAAGGACACTCTCTGTCTCCAAGGAGGTTTTCATAATGATACCTCCAACTTTGATGTGGAGTTCATCACATTTACTAATTTTAGTTCCATAGTTAACCGGACTACCTCCTTTATCCTGCCAAAGGACAAGTATTTATTTGTGGAGGAAATATGGCCTATAATTTCCTCCCAACTAACTGGATAGGGATATGTGTAACAGCTGTCCTGTTGCCTGATATAGAGATCCTACCCGGGGATGAGCCTGTCCCCATTCCTAGTTTAGATTACATCACAGGCCACTCAAAGAGGGCAATTCAATTTATTCCTTATTGATAGGCTTAGAGATATCAGGAGCCTTAGGTCTGGGGGCAACAGTAGTAGGGGTTTTTGTCCAACCTTCCAACCAGATTGTTAGTGATATACAGAAATTATCTAGTACCATACAGGTCATTCAAGAACATATAGACTTGTCAGCTAAAGTAGTTGTCCAAAATAAGAGGGGACTAGACCTACTCCTCCTAAAGGAGGGCAGCCTATGTGCCACTCTAAAAGAAGAGTGCTGTTTTTATGTTGACCATTCAGGCATAATAAAAGACGCCATGTCCAAACTCAGAGAAAATATCAAAACTAGAGAAAAAAAAATACTCTTTGGGGACGTCCTTCTCTTCCCTATGGCAAGGGCTAGTTCCTTATGCTGTCCCCCTCCTAGGCCCTTTAGCTGCTTTGCTCTTATTCCTTACCATTGGCCCTTGCGTTTTAAACAAGATTACACATCTGGTGCTATCCCAGGTCTCCCAGGTAAAGATGATGGTCTTGGGATACCAATATGATCCAATACCTACTAATAATCTCTAGGATTAGAGATCCTCACAAGAAAAGGGGGAAACGAAGTGTTAAAACATTCTGGAAACCCCTCTTGCCTTGTCACATGGTCAGAACAACTAGATATTTTGGCCTGATAGGGAAGTTGTGGTCCAACATCCTCAAAAATAAGAGCATTGTGAAATATCAACCATGCAAGACAGGATATGAGTTTTCAAAACACCAATGCCATCTGCTTCTGTAACCAATGCTTGCTTTGTGGTTTTCGGCTTTATATACTCTGCACTCCCTTACCCGGGCACTCTCCCCTCTCCCAACTGGAGTGCGGTCAGAGAGTCCCTCGCATGCGCAGATAATAAAACCGCTTGATTTTTCATGAGAGCTGGTTCCTTGGGGTCTTCTTCATGATGGTGATCTTACAAAATCAGCCATGCTTACCCATATGGCTACTTCGTCTTTTTTTCCCTGAATACAACTTCCTCATTCCTTTCCCAGAGGCCCAAAGAAAATTCCTATCAGCTCCTTGCATGACATCAATGTCAGTGCCAGGAACCACATAGAGCAAAATTTCACATATTCTCCATAATCCCATAATCAGTCAGAAAAAAAGGCAAACCCTTGGTGGCTGTAGGCTCCCCTCTACATTCTTTAAATGGAAAGGACACTTTTACTTTTTCTTATATTCTGCTTCTCTATTGGGCCACAAAATCCTAACTGATAAGATTATATAGTACATCCAAAAGATGAGAAGTATAAAACAAAAGAGGCCTTTATTCTGAGAATGCGAAGAGAGAAAACAAAAACCCCCTAACCATTGGAGTCAGGCTTTCTCTCTCATGGACTCATGGCATGGGGGCATATAAGCAACCTAGGTTTGGGGTGGAACCTGAGGGGGCATTAGGGATGCACACGTAGTCCATTGGTCTTTGTTTGGCACCATAGGTAAATTCCTAGGTGCAGGGAAGTTGGAGTCACAGGTAATTTCCTAGGGGTGGGGGAGATAGGAGCTCCTTGGTTCTGCCTCACTGGCTACAATGTCCTGTCTCAGCCAAAACTCTTTCAGAAACAGTACTGAATCTTGTGTATCTATGAAGCTAATTTAGCTCTTCAATAATTCTCATGTTAAATGCCACGAGGACCAAATGGAAATTAATGCAGTGGGCTGTTGCTTCACTCTATCAGTGTCAATGCAGTAAGTTTAATCCTAAGATAAAAATAAATCTTCATATAAATTTCAAAACACAAATATGCATCAAAATACAGCCAAGGTCCTAGAGACCTACAGACAGCTTTCAATAATATAATAGAAGCCTTCTAGAAACTGACAAAAATACACAGTTTTTCTAATGAAAAATTGTGTAGAAACTTTTCTGAACAATTATAGGTGAATCTTCTCTTTAATAAGATATAACCTACTGCAATGGCAATGTCTAGTTCTTGCTAAATAATACACTCAAACCAATTATTTAACATTAATAATGACTGATGTATACAATTTAGATATTGCCAGGACTACAATCACTGTGATTTGTATTAATCACTTAAAACTGCAGGAGAAGGAGCAAATTTCAGACATTATATAGTATAGTCATGTTAATTTGGTTCAGGTTAATGGTATAGGGTAATGAAACTCCTTACCTACTATATGTCTGGTATGCATTTGTGTTCTCTAAATTTAAAGAATGGATTTTAGGAATGATGGAGTTTAAGAATGGAACAAATTTACTGGGAGAAGGAAAGCTTCTGAGAGACAGAAGGTGTCCTGAGTGGGTTGCCAATGACTCTGTCTTTTTGAGGAGCTTGTACAGAGTTAAACCATGAGGTCAGATGGGTCACAGGAGGGAAAAAATAGGAATTTTGAACATTAGCATAAGGCGGGATAAGACTGTGGTCAACCAATAAGGTTAATTTCTCAGGTAAAATTGGTTAAATTGGGAGCAAATGGGAGAGCAAGTCACATACTAAGTGGGCCTGTTTAAGAGCAGGGACACTTCCTGTAGCGGGTTGAGATGGGGACTCTTGAGTTCCTCAGGGTGCTCAGAGAACTATTTGAAGTGTTGGTTCTTAGCACTTGGTTGTATTTCCTTGCCTGTTCTTTTGAGATTTGGCCCACAGCAGGAGGTTATTGTCTCTTCAAATGCTAGAAGCAATCTGAACTTATTTTCTGGCTCCATTGAGGGCCCAGCCCTGTTGTCACAGGCAGCTGAGTTAGTTAGAAATATACAGCCAGGGAGACAGGATCAGGTCCTAGAAGTGGCCAGCACAGAAGCCCAGACACCTTGCAACTATGGGGGAGCAGATACCTCTTGTTATAGGCCAGGCCTCAAGACAAAATATGTCTTTAAAAATGCAGATCAAGCAAGTAGCTTCATGCAAAGGTTTTGGAACATTTAGCAGATGTTTGATATTCAAATGGAAATAGGACAAGTATAATCTTGCCCTGTTTGATGTCAAATGCACCAAGTTTGTTGGCTCACAACATTAAGGAATGAAGTCACAAACCAAAAGAAGTTCAAAAAGCTTTCTGGGAAAAAAGAGAGAAGAATAGCCCTGGATTCTCAGGAGTGCTCTTCAGTGTTTAAGTCACAGACCTATTGTTAGGGGTCATTTATGCAGCAAAGTCACAATGTGGCTACAGTGTGAGTCCCAAACTACAATCAACCTATAAGCTTGTAGTTAGTGGCTCAAATAATATTATTTAACCTGGGAAGAAGTCACCCAGAAAAAGTATGTTGAAAGAACAAAGGAATTTTGTGGGAAAAATAGTCCAGTTGTTCTGGTCATTGAGTATGTAATTGATGCCTATTTGGACTTCATGGAGGAAGTAGTGATAACTGTAGTACATTTCAAGCTATTGTTTTCTCTTCAGGAGGCATGTAGACATGGTCACTGCATCTTCACTTTTATGTCTGGCTTTCTTCAGCTGAGCCTGTAGAGGGATTGTTGTGTTAGTATTTTATGTTGACACCTTTCAGGTTCCAATTCCTCTCTGACTGTATATCAATTTTTCTCTACTTTGACCTCCTGTAGTAAAATCACAATACCATTTGACTGGATAATGTGATGCTTATACATTTAATAAAATATTATTCAATAGAGGTCAGGGGTTTAGCTCAGCATGCAGAAGCACCTGCCTGGGAAGTGCTAAGTTGTGAGTTTGATCCCCCGTACCTAAAAAAAAACAGTGTTTTAAACTGCAGAGAAAGAAAATAATTTCATTTGTGAAGATGTAGATTAACAAGAGTTTTAATTAAATATGTCAATGGTAAATTAAACATTGGTAATAGTCATGTATAGAAGCTGAAGATGTTGGGCTGGGTTTTGAGCTTAGTGGTCAAAGAAATCTTCGAAAGCCTTTGCATGAAGCTACGTGCTTGCTCTGAGTTTAAGATTTCAATGAGTTTTTGGACCTCTTCATTCGAGCAAATTGCAGATTTATTGGAGGAAGGAGTTCACTGTTGTGCTATAGCACAATAGGTACCATTCCTAACTCTGTATTTATCACAGCTGCCAGGATGCCACTACATGGCCAGCTGTCTGCTGCAACATCATTCCATAACTGCCAATTTAGATCAGCTTTCATTCAGCTCTATTATTTTTGTTTTCCTTTAATAGTCTTTCTCTCTCCCTTGGTTTTTTTCTTTTTTCATTTTTATTTTTTTGTTTTGAAAGATGTAGTCTCACTTTGTAGTTCTGGCTGGCCTTTCACTCACTTCGTAGGTTAGACTGTCCTTGAATACATGGCCATTCTCCTGTTTCAGCCTCTTTAATGCTGTGGAAAAGAGGTGGTCATCATAACACATGGTGTTGGTCATTTTCTTCCCTCCTTTTCAGCATTATTCTTTCATTTCAGGGGCACTGACATTTAATCCAGAGGGTTGCTTCTGTCAGTAATCTTTCTGCATGTTGAAATGAGTTTGTGAACAACAGTACAGGAATCCAAGCATCCAGAGAATAAATTTGGAATTTAAATATTGGAGCTCAAAGCCACTTTTATACAGATCCCCTTCCCCATTTCAGAATCTAAACAATTGGCTCTGAACTGGAAAGTTTGGCATTTTTAAAAGAGAGAATCACAGAAGACATCCTGTTGGAAACAATTTAGCTAGAATCTTAAATTAATTTTTGGTTGACACCTGTATCCTGCTTTTTTTCTTAGCATGTTACTTTTTTTACTTGGGTACAGCTCCTTTTGCTTTTCTCATGGAACTTATACCCTGAGTGATTTTTCATTTTCTTGGATCTAATACAGAGCACTAGATAAATGCAGGGTGCAAGATGGCATCTGTTATGCCAGGCTACAATACAGCTGAGCTACAGTGCCAGGCCTCAATATTTTCTAGGGTCAAAAGCACATAATGTTTGAATATTTCACTGTTTATGATGTTCATCCTTATAGTAAAGCATGATCTATAGTCAGGACAAGTGAAGCTCCCCAGGACTCTCATTGCTTTCCACTGGTCTTTTTCTCATCATCCTTAAATACAATACTCTCTGAATTCTTAATACTAATGCTCACATTTCATTCATATTCCTATCTGTGACATTTCCTGTTTCTGCAGTAGTCTATCCTGGCATCCAGGGCTCATAAGAGATAGAAACGCATCTTCTGATTCCCTACACTCCAATGATATTTTGTGTTATATTGGACACTTTTACTTTAAGGGAATGGCAGTTAATGAATACATGTGTATCTCATGACTGTTTATTCAGGTTTCAAATAACACCAGGAATTCTTTCAAGTTTTATGTGCACACCTGTAATCCCAGAACTTGGGAAGCTGAAGTAGGATAATCAGTGTGAATTGACTGGACTAAGACGTGAGTCCACAGTCAACCTGAACTGCATGGGGAAAACATGTCTCAAAGAAACAGAAAAAATATCCTATTATTGTGGATATCCTTGGGAAGAAGAACTCAAAAGTTTGAAACTCTTAAGATCATACCTATTATGTTTCAGGTGGTGAGTATAAGAGACCAGTAAAACTACCTTCAAGGATATGGAGAAAACTCAAAAAATCTTATTGCAAACTGTCATATAGATGTAATGCATTGCCCTCCAAAATACAACTAGGATAGCTCACAAATGTAGAGAGAACAGTTCTAAAATTCATCTGGAAATAGAAATGCTCTAGATCACCAAAGACATTGCTGGGCAACAAAGGCAAGTCAGGAAGCATCACAATTCCTGACTTGCTATAATACTAGAAAGCCACTATTAGAAAATCAGCATAGTTATGTCAGAAAAACAGACCTGAGAATGAACCAAAAAGACTAGAAGATGCGAATAGAACTCCAAACACACTCTGCTACTTTGTGTTTGACAAAGGAGCCAAACATGTTCACTGGAAGAGAGATAGCCTCTTCAATAAATGGTGCTGAAGAAAATGACTTTTCTCATACTGAAGAGTTAAACTGGAGACATGTCTATCACTATAAAAAAAACAAAAGTCAAGCTAGATTAGATCTAAATATTAAAACAGAAACACTAATGAGGCTTCATGAACAAAATACAAATTTTAAAGTATCAGCCACTGGGACCCCATCTTATTAACAAATATTTCTACATCAAAAGAAATCACTAACAGAGTGAAAAGACAATGCACAGAATGGGCAAGGAATATCTTTCTATTTATGATAATCTCTTCAATATCTTTTTCCAAAGTACTATAATTTTCAATATGTAAGTCCTTTACTTTCTTCATTAGGTTCTTTCCATGTATTTTGTTTTCTGGGAGACTATTGTAAAGGCTGTGGTTTCTGTAATTTCTCTCGGTGAGTTTGTTGATTGTGTACAGGAATGATATTGATTTTTGATTGTCAACTACGTCCCCTGCTACATTATTGAATTTGGATATTAATTCTAGGACTGTTTTGGTGGAGTCTTTGGTATCTTCTATTTACAATATCATATCATCTGTGAATAATGATAGTTTAATTACTTTCTATTATATATTTATTCTTATTTCTCTCTTTTGTCTAATTGGTCTGCCTAATGTT